AAACAGGATGTCTAAAGTTTTGAAAGAGAGTCTGGTACTTGGAGATGGCACGGCTGGATTTGATAAAAGTCCTTAAATCTGCTGGGAGCTTGACTCTCTTTTCTGATATTTGCCTTATCAGTTCCTCAAGTTTAGTAGTTCCTAGCTGCTCCTCCTCGTCACTGCTTTCCAAGAACAGTGTGTTTCTTTTCCCTCCCATGATTGAAGCCTCTGGCCAGTGAGTACACATGACTCAATGAAACTCTTCTTCCAGTTTGAACTGCTTCTCCTTCAAGAAATCTTTAGTAAAAATCTGGTGAAAAAAAAGAACTGGATTTCAGAAATGTAATGTACAAAGAATAAATTTACATTTCTGTACATCTGTCAAATACTATTTGGTCAAAATGATCATCTAAATTGTCAATGTGCTGTTATTATGTAAGTGTGTAAATTCTTTTTAAATATATCAGCATACATTACAAAATTTAAAGGTCTGTGTTACATTATTGGTTACCTGTGACTGATGGGTGGCTGATGGTTGACGTGAGGATTTAATATTTTGAAGAAAATTAGTCTGACACTTAGTTTGATCAGTCTCTTTACACGGAAGTGTGTTTGGTTTTGCATTTCCTCTTTATAAAGGAAGTGCAAAACCAAACAACCCTCCCCTTTTGCAGAGCGGAAACAAGTCCAAGTTAAAGATAGACTGAAACTGCAAAGCATTTTGCTGACTGTGGTACTGGCAGGTTATAACCACAAATCATGAAATACCATGAACTTTATGTTCTGTTTGTTTTTCTGTCTTTGGATGTGGACGATCCATTTACCTTCACTTTACATTCACATTTTTACATGTAAAAAGGACATGGAAGTGAGCATGGCGCTGTGACAGGATGTCACCACGGCAACAGGTTAGTTTATGAAATAACCTGCTGGGATGGTGTCTATCCAACCCAGCAGGATAGACCTATTTCCCAAATGTAGTTTTTATCTTTGTTTTTTATTATTGCATGGTGTAGATATGGAAGTGACAAAGAATCATTGTAAGTAGATCATAAATGAGCTGTTTATTGTACTTATTCATTGAGGTAATTAGAGAAATTACATAAAAATAGAATATATTTATCCTTTACATGATACATGCCTAATCTCTTACTCTTTGTGAAAGAAAGTTTCTACTCTTTTTACTGACGTCTCAGCATTAGTTTCATGTCTGACACTGTCCCACATAAACATAACCCAGATTGTTTGTTGGCCAGTTAAGACAGAGTTTTTACACATAACACAATTTAAGCACACTGGGATTCCTTACCTTCTTTTCCACTAATTCCATGTTCAAATTCCTCAGAAGGCCAACTTCTTATCTTGATGTTTCCTCTCCCTTTGATCTGATTATAAAGAACAATAATGGCATTTTACCTACAATACCGAATGTTTTATACAAGTCCTCTCTTACGTCTCCATAGACCACATTCCTGAGAAAGCATTAATCTCTCAGGGTTTTTTTTTTCTGTTTCGCTTTCCTGTAAGTCCCTGTAACCTCCATTGGCATGTCATAATCACAGACACACCTAGATATGAAAATAGGTTACTGTCGGTTTCATATGGTGAATTTCCTTGTTTGTCCAGCTGGGATGGTAACATTTAGGGAACTTGCTAGAGTAGAAGTATCTTTATTACGAGCAATACTGGAGCTGGTACTGTTTTTAACTTGTCTGTCTGTCTATGTGTGGCTGAGTAAAATGTGCTTGTGGAGAAATTTACTGTTGAGGAAATTACCAGATATTAAATACTTCATTTCAAACACTGACATGACAATAGAAACTCTGATTTTGAAGGGGCAAGGTCTTACTTATATTACCAAATAGTCATGAATAAATGTTGTACTTGTATCAGTATGTCTGTGAAAAATTCTCAAGGATTCAGGTCACGGCAGGTTTGAGTGTTTGTAAAGAAGGCAGCTGGACTTCTTTTTGGTTCATGAAGAAGTTTTACCTCTTGTACAAGAGGCTTCTTTAGCTCTGTGAAATACATACACTTTAAGAAACACTGAAAACATGTGATTCTCCAAACCATCATTAAATCAGAAGAGAAAAAATATGCTCCTCTCTTTGAAGTCACAGTTATATATAAAGAAGTCCAGACGCTTTTCTTTGCAAGCTCCTTTGACTACGATGACCTGGATGACTGAGAACCTTCACAGACAGTTATATATAATGTTTTTAAAAGAGATCTGAAGTCTGCTGATTATCTACTTTTTCTATCTATTTATCTATTTAAAAGATTATTATTGCTATTACTACATGAAGTACCTTTGAAATATGGCAATGACAGACTTTAAAAACAACTTTACAACTTTAAAAAGTTGGAAAGTCGTATTCTGTAACAGCAATGTGAGGCCACTTTTCCACAAAAGCCCTCATAGGTATTAATGTTTTTTGATGATATTGTTTTTACACATTTAACAGCTGTAACTCTATCGGTTGTAAAGCGGACATAAGTTAGGATCTGAACATTTCAATTCATGCA